AAAAAATTATAAACGTTATTCATAAATAATAAATTTTATTCAAAGTTTCACGGAATAAGCTGCTGATTAAAATCTCTTTGAGTCAGTTTCATTTTGTATGTTTATCGTATTCTAATAAGAGTCTCTCTTCGCTATCAAGATTTTTCTCTAGACATTTATAGTGGGATTCCGGAATTGAGAGCTCTCCTATTATTCACATTTAAATTGCACATCTTAGCAAACGAAACTGCTCTCCGATAATTCTAGATTTAGTTTAAATTAGTGATGTTTAAAGCAACAAATTTAAACTGAGCCGTTTAAGGATTTAGTTATATCGAAGTTCGAAGATTAAACTGTCAGGCCGAGTTCACGAGTAGTTCCTCTTCGGTGGTAAACGATTTGATCTTCATGTTAGCTCGACGCTAAAACTTTGATCCATACATGCTTCGAAATAGACATTCTCTAGCCTAAAATGTAAAGAACCTCCGTTAATCGGCATTGTTCAGTTTGAGGTTAAGTTTGTTACAATGTCATGTTTCAAACCTCAAAGGAGAAGTCACTTATCATCAGGTGAGCCTGCTCGTTTCCCCCTTTTCTCCATAAAAAAGTACACAAACACGCATTGTACTCTATCACGCCACCTCAAATGCCAAGGTCGTAAATTTAAGTAAATTGGCGTCGCGATCGAGCTCCGTTGGAGTTAATGCCGCCTGAGTTGTCCTCAGTTTTTGACAAACAATTTTGGATCGCTGATGAATATAAGTTATATTTTGGATTGATGAATATAGGATTGTAAACGGCTAAAATGCGCCGGACTTTTCAAAGAAAGTCCGGACACAATAGGGCTCCAGTAGCGGTGGTGTAGTAGATAATTGCGATACTCAGTAACTTGGCGCGTGACTTACGTAAAAAATCCGTTAAAGATTAAAAGCTGGACACAAATGCATTTTTTTGACTATGCGACATTTTTTAATCCTTGCTAATATTGTAAACGCAAAAGTTTGTATGTATGGATGGATGTTTGTTACTCTTTCACGCACATACTACTGAATGTAATTTAACGTAATTTTACAATAATATAGCTTATACATCAGAATAACACATAGGCTATAATTTATATACATATTTTTATGTATATCTGTCTTTCGCTCTGAATGTTACGCCTTCAGCCTATTCTACGCAGACGTAGTCGCCGGCAGCAGCTAGTATTGTAATAAATAACCAATATTTAATCCATGTAAATATGTATTCTGCATACATTAAAGTAAGGATAAATTTTTAGAAAATACGTTAAGTCCACCGATCCGCTATAGGGCTGCGTAAAGTTGCCCAACAATGGGACATTTATAGGCTGTTACTTTTCTTTACTTTTTTTAAAGAGACCATCTAATCATAAAGAAGAGTGACATTAAAGAAGAGTGACATCAAAAGAAACCTGAACCTTCAACTATCTGCCTACCCCATTAACGCTACACGGCCCGTTGTCCGCGTGAATCATATTTTTTTTACTATCAATAAATTAACATTGAAGGAATGAATTTGTTTTTCCTGATATCTAACACGTATCCTTATCAGCGAAATCCATACCGTCATAGCTTTGCATGATCGATTAAGGAAATTTCCTTCGATACACCAAATCCATTATAGAATACCAAAAGATAGTTGGGAACAATATTTTGTTAAAGTAACCTCGATATCACTGTAATTGATAATACAAGTAAATATTTTAAATATAAAAAAAACTACTTAAAGCGTCTTGTCCACGTTACATTTTCTATTTGATTTCATGGATTGCCCCGATAAATTACCTTAAATTACCATGGGACCTCATGGAAGCTAATCCAAATGGAAACTATGTCCATCAATCGGCTCATAAATTACGGTATTTGGTAACACACACAAATATGGCAGATTTGAGAAAGTACTCGTTTTTGACGTCGGTTAAAAAGTGAAATCATTATTATTAGTGAAATCGGCAGTCTTACGTCCAGTTAGTATCTGGGGACGACGAGCGCACAGCAAATCTGACAAGTTCGCACTGGACTAAACGCTAGCCTGGCAAGCCCACCACTAGCGGACACCTTAGGGTCTGTCCACACAGACTGAGTGAGATCTTAAATTATTTTATATATTTTACCATAGCATCAAAACTTGTAAGTTAGCACAAGTTTTTATAAAACTTTCCACTCAAACTCTCCTTTTATTACATACGAGTGAAATTTTTTACTATTAGTTGAAATAACTGAAAATGGACAAATGCAACATTTATTTTCGAGTAGATCTAAAATATCGTGCTGGTTTTCGAATGTGACATTAATAAGGGCCTCAAACACGACTGAATTAACTTTCTCTCAGTTCTCCGGGTCCCGGATGGAGTAACACACTGTAGCATACTATTGTATTTCATATGGTGAGGTAACTAGTGTCCGACAAGTTTTACGCTGAACCGTTTGCCACCTCGAAAATAAAACAGAATTTAATGCACGCTGTGAACTCGCCCCAACTTCCCGCGAGACGTAGACGCAGACGGCGGCGTAATTAATTCATTCATGTTGATGCGTCATTCGACCACTTGCCCGTCTTCCTGGCCGTCCGGTGGCCTATTGAAAAGCCACGGCTTGGACTGACTTCAGCTGGTGAGCACCGAATCCGTCCCCATCCAACATTTCGTGTGCGCTCTTAACAAGACGCTATCATTTAAAATGTAATAAACAACGTCGCGAAGCGGTGGCTTGGCTGGCGGCTTGAACGCGTTAGGAGTTTTTGAGTCCGTGATTTGCGTTATCGGATGTCTTAGAAAATCAGTGCCTCGAAATGTCGACCAGTGATAGACGCACAAGCGTAAAAGTTCGTGAAAACCGTATTGTCGCCGTTATCACTTCTTCGTCCTCTTCCGTGAAGTCGTTGAAGAAATAGCCTGTACCATGTTTACGATAGAAATAAATCTCACTTTAAATAATAGGCCAGCCTATTCAACTTGTAGATAGAGATGGTACTGTAGGAAGGCGGGGTGATGAGCCTTTCGCCAAACAAAGGGCAGTTAGCCAAAAGGTCAATCGTGCACGTAATAAATATACGAAAAACTGAAGGTGACTTGAATCCTCGAAAAAAGCGTGCATGCCCAACGCCTAAGCCACCCACCGCACTGGCTTTTTCACTGTTTAATAATAACACATTCTTTGCGTGGTAAATTGCATACAAAATCTATCATAATTAGAATATATTTCAATAACTTTCCAATTCCTCAATAACTGAACAACTCGAATATACCCAAGCTTCAGCGGCGAACAAAGTGGCCCAGTTGTCTGTAATAAAACTATGTCGACCTAATAATACCTGGCTCAATTACTTTCACACGAGTGTTGAATAATTCACGAGCTATCCCATACAGAATTGCTCAAATCTTACTTATGCAACACGCATATAAATAGATTAGTTCACGATTTAATCTAAAAAGGTAGCTTTCGCGATTAATTCCTGCCAAAAGCGTTGTAATTAGTAAGTACCATGCAAGCAAAAGCGTAAATAAAGTTGGAGTGTTTGTACCGTTTATTTATTTATGAAGTTATTTGTCCCGTACAGCTGTATTAACACTTCAAAATAATGGTAACACAGGGCAGACTTAGGCATTATATCCCAGTCTATCTGGGGCATGGATATAAATTGTGGCAGGTGCAACAATCCGTTTGAAATATTTATATTGTATAATAACAAACGTTTGATGGAAATCAGATTAGAATTGTTCCGAAAACGTTTATAGTGAAATTCCTTTTACGTATTTATTAATTAAATGGTTAATTAATGGTTTTATTTATTTGAAGAAATGCGCGTGTGTATGACTACTTATGTACGCACGTAAAAAGTTATATTTATTTATTGCCTATAATCTTATCTTATTTTCATAACAAAAGATAATTAACTAATAAATTTTATCCCGCGTGCCACTATTTTTTTTTTTCATGGAGAAAAGTGGCAAACGAGCAGGAGGCTCACCTGATGGTAAGTGATTACCGCCGCCCATGAACACCTGCAACACCCGAGGGCTCACAAATGCGTTGCCGGCCTTTTAAGAAAGACTTACTCTTTGTTTGTGAAAAAGACATTAAATGCAATTGATAACAGTTTATTAAATAACTAGGAATTATAGGTAGATGTCAAAGAGTTGTTATTGGTTGCAATCATAGCACCATGAAGTTGGTGACGCTTTCAGCTGTCACTAATCTTAAAAATTCGCTGTCATCATATTACCCAAACGCACTAAATGAAGTAAAACTTCAATAAACACTTTTACATAAAGTGTTTTTGAATTTAAAAATGAAACGGAAACGGATGTCAAAGATGGCGCTCTTGTTCTTAAGAAGGCCTTATCCTAAAGAAGCTTAAACCAACGTGAAGATGATAATTCTGAGAGAAAAGTTTGCATTTAACTGCTATCCACTTTGAATTACCAGGAAAATATATTTAGAATCTTGTAACACATAGTGTCTAATTACTTACGGTAAAGAAACTGAAAAGTTACGTGGAGTGACCTACTCAGCTAAAATAAACTGGCCATATCGTAGCTGAAAGTTTTACATCAGCACTCATTACGCATACGCGAAAATACTTTACGAGGAAATTGATTATGAAAATAAAAAAAAATGAATTTAAAAGTGACCAGGTATGGCCAATTCGTTAATATACATTAATAAACTAAACTACGTGTCTACTACTCGTATATAATATACATTTCGTTTACGTGACATGTACGTTATTCCAATTTATGTGCAATTTATTTCAATTCTTCAAAAATGCAGTTCGTACGGACAAAATAAAAGGTGTTAAAAATTAATGGATACGCACTATAATGAACTCATTAGTCCCATAACGGTACATAATCGATCACATGAACCAACCATAAAAACAAGTGCCGTGTATCTATGCAGTTCCTTCGGAAATGTGGAAGCGGTTCTGATGGGAATACGTAAGTGGAATGGGAGCAGCCCGATTTATGCGGCCGGCGGCAGGAAGGTATGCGAGAAATGCGACGCTACCCTGACACCTACACATCCGACGAGGAGTTGCACACACCGTCCTCAGTAGTAGCGGAGGGCTTAATGCCGAGGAGACAGGTCAGTCCACCGGCAATTTATTTTTTTAACAGGAGTTCAGACGCTTTTGGTGCTCGGTGGTTCAAGTTGCGCACACCTACAAAGGCTGGCGTTGCAGATTAGTGTTGGTGAAGTTTAGGAATGTGTGCACGCTAAAGTATAATGCCTTCAATTCACGCCAATCTTCTGGAATGGAACACATGGAACTGCTCTATCACAGTTAAGAACAAATGAAACTAAAAACCATACCTATCCGAGTCTGAGGTAAATTTTAAAATCAACTGACTTTTAACATGAACTTATTTGGAACTCATGGTTCGTTTTTCGATGTTAACCTAAAAATTTATATATTAACCTATAAAAATAAATCTTTAAGAGTTAATCTCATAGGTATGAACCAGATGCTACCAAAACCGATCGCAATTAGAAAATTTTAATATCACAGGACCATTATTTACATGCATTAAAATTCTTGTAAATTACATAGCGTTTCAGATTTTGAATTACTTAAATTACCTAATAATTATGAGTCTTTATGTTCAGATTATATATTTGTGCCATTTGCTGTTGAAACATTAGGTCCGTGGGGTCCCCGCACATCAAATTTTTTTAAAAGTTTATGTCCTAGGCTTAACGCCGCGGCTGGTGACAGGAGAACTTCTTTTCTCGCACAAAGGTTAAGCATAACTATTCAGCGAGGAAATGCAGCTAGCGTTCTTGGCACCATGCCGCGTGGATTAGGTTTATTAGATAATATGTAATTTTAGATAGATTTAATCTTGTAAATATTAGATCAATAAAGATTGTCTTTTCGCAATTACCTACCATTAAAAAACAAATACTTTTCTGAACATTCAGAAGTCATTTCATGCCATGCCAAGTCATTCAAATTTAGGTCAGAAACTTCATTTACATGACACTGAACAGTATGCAGCTATTGACGATCTAATTATTTCGCAAGCCACAAATAGTTCAATTAGCACGGAAATGCAATTTAGATGACAATGAACGTCGACCAGGTTTAATTTCTAACGGTAAAAGTAGAACAAGGAGCAAACAATGAGATGGTATTTCGCTTTCAAACATAGCAGACACAATCGAACGAATTCAGACACGAACACGAAATTCAAACAAAGGCAATAGGTTCAGTACCGTTCAAAATTCTGTAGGGCGGCACGTGCTACAAATACGGGGAATTTTTGCGGCACCTATTGCAGTTACGTATGATTCGCTCTAGCTGCCAGGGGGGGATTTAAAAAAAAAAACGACGAACCGGGATCACACGCCGCCGTGGGTCCTGGAAAACCATTGTTGATTTGAAAGCGACGCGACACTTGTTGTTTTAGTTTGATGTTAGATCTTCGCTCGTTTTTTGTGCGCCATCAACGTAAATTGAAATAGAGAATGGGATCCACCCCCACGGATCCACTTGGCAGACCAGCCTCCGGAACTGATATCCAATTGTGTAAATACACGAAGTAAAGTTTCATTCCGGCAGAGCCACGCAAGACTGTCTACTACTTTACGAATGGGCCCGTCTCCGAGAGAAATACTATGGGGCCACAGAAGACCGGTTCGGTTTTTTCAACTTTACATTTTATAAGTCCTATTCTCTTGAAGGATGGGAAAAGTATCGGCAACCGATAGTTATTATCCGTTAATAGTGATTATCCATCGATATTTTTTTCCAACGATCACGTAAAAGTTTAAACCATACGTGAGATTTGGTTAGTCAAATGAAATATTTTCATACCTTCAATCATAAAGTGCAACTTTAACTAGTTCTAAAATTCTGGGTCAATTATTATTAATTGGTTACACATTTGCTTTTGTTGAAATGTGTAATTGGTTACAATTACACATTTGAATTTTTGCGGAAATTACACGAATTAGGTGGTAAAATTACGGGAATTATGGACATATATCACCTAAGTCACCTACGCCGATGTGCCATCTATGAACTCAATGCGGTGTATAGTATTTATCTTATTTTGACCAGTTCTTTAGGTAAAACAGTAAGAACACATTGAGAAGATAATTATTTTCTCTCTCACATCATTCAAGGCAGCATCGATATTTGCACAACTACTACCTTCGCGAGCGATGACGGCAAAAAAGATTTCAATAAGCAAAAACCGTACTACTTTATTGGCCAGCATAAAAAACCTTCTTCAATTTCGAAGCCGCACATAGCTTGCGAGCTGTGCTAGGTTTTATTTCATTTGTTCCGTTCGCTCGAGAATCGAAATTGGGAATCGTGTGTACATTACAGCGGCGTTTTTATTTATACCACCGGTCAGTGATTGATATTTCGATTGGAAGAATATTTTACATATTTCACCGAATCGCACAGCTGACAGCCCCCCCTCCCCGTCGACCTATTTAAATGGTGCGACGTGGAACATGTACAGTTAAAAGATGATAACAACAACACGATATAATTCATTGGCGGGCTATAAGTTAAGTTAATTGTTCCCATTTATTCATAGTTTAATTGAGACGCCTGAGACGCATCATTAATTGGCTGCCGTTCGATTCCGAATACCTAATGCGGCAGATATTACTTACGTATAAACGTACTTACTATACTGACACAAGCCCAGCACGACCTAGGAATTCCGCGGAACTCAGTTTCATTACCAACATACAACTGACATAATCAAAATGAAAACATGAACCAATCAATCATCCAAATCTTTACTTTATCCTACACTAGCGACCCGTCCAGGCCTCACTGGTTTAGTTAAATTAATTTCATTGTATTTATATATTAAAAGTTATTTATTATTATTTATATAAATTAATATATTTTACATATGAAACTTCCTCTGGAATCATTTTATCAAATAAAATAAATCGCATCAAGATCCATTGCGTAGTTTTAAAGATCTAAGCATAAATAGGGACAGAAAGACAGCGGGACAACTTTGTATTATACTATGTAGCGATATTGTGGCCCCTGCGAAATATTATTCTTGATCTAATTTATAAGATTGTTTTATCCGAAGCCATTTGCGCGATTTTGGACCTGCACGGTGATACTCTTGACACATATATATTAACTCTTAGTTTAACAATTAATTAACATATTCATTATATATTAACTCTTGACACATATACACACAGACTTATATATTTATGTACTCCTACACAAGTCTGCGTGTACTCTGTATGTGTGTCCTACTCGCGACATGCCCAGGGTCAGATTCGATGGTGAACCCGCAGCGATATTGGCGAGGCGATCGCGGCGATCGAATTGGGTCCGCGGGTCATCGGGCCGCCGCCCTCACCGGCTCTGAACTCCAGACCGTGATATCGCGCAGCCACCCGAAGCAGTCAAAGCTACGACAACTTACGAGAGATTCCGTGGGGGGCCGTCGTCAACATTAACAGGAAAATGGAGCATACATCACGACTTTTATTATTCACGACCGAAAATATATTTACATGGAGGGATTGGTTAATTCGAAAGTTTGGTCGGAAAATTTCGAGAATTTTCTTATTCCTAAAAAGAAGTTCGTTAAATCCTCAAAATACGCATCATTATATTATGTAATCGAAATTTTCAATTATTATGTACATATTAATTTTAACCGAAGTATACGACTCATCAATCGTCACATTCGTGTATATTTAATATTTTGCCATGCTCTAGTGACCCAATTTTAATATAACGAGACAGAGCTACCTTGCAACGTATCACTTTCCTTTTACGCCTAATTTGTACTGATAGGTGGTGTAATTGTCCATTTTATTTCCCGACTTCCGATTTGCTGTTTGTCGGAGCACCAACATAATAATATGTATTAAATTATATATATCTATTAATATATTGTTTGCGGATCATAATGTAAACAGTGCAAATGCTCTGTGATACGGTTCGATATATTATGTTCAGTTTGATTATAGTTTACATAACATTATAATTAATAGGAAAATAGATTGACCATTTAAAGCCAACGTTCCGCGCGTAATTTTATTATAATTGGGTCATTAATTATCTGCGTATATGCATGAGTCCATTGACTTCACAATGACAAAAAAAAAACAAATGTGTACAGTATTAAAAAGTCATTCCACGTTTTTAGACGGTTTGAATTCTAAAGTGTACATTGAACATTCATACGCAAAGCCTTTTATTATACGTAAGCCTCATTAGCATGTCTGAATGCATCGTAATGTGTAAGTATAACTGGATGGGTATACAAACAAGGGAATGATACAAAAATAGCGGTTGTTAGCATCGCGCGCATTCATGCCGTTTTCATTCTTCAGAACAGTAGGCGCAGAGTATTTTCAAATGTAAACCGCCGGGTGGGAAAATTTATCTCTAACTCTAAAAATTCAGCCACGATATATATTACAAACTCTATATTTTTAATACAAATATGATATTAATATCCGGAAAGGAAATCCAAACACTAACGAAAGTGTTTCAGGACCGACACGACTTAGGGACCTTCAAGAAGACAGCCGGTTGAGTCGCAATTGCGTTGCCGGCCTTTGAGGTTGCAAATGTCCACGGGCGGCGGTGATCGCTTATGTATATAAATATAGCCATAAGCTAATGTTACTCGCCGTAATTAAACCTATAGAAACTTATACAACTACACATTCGGACAATTATCCATCCACCATAATGCATTTTCGCACTATTTGTTTTCGATTCCCGAAATGATTGCACTAATTTTGCGTGCGAAACCGCTACGTCCAATTTGACATCGGAGTGTTGCGGTGCTGCGGGTCGGTTGTGCCGGGGTGGTAGTGGTGGGGGGGGGGGCGACTCTGTTCGGCACTTCTCGGCATCATTTGCGCCTAAAACTCACCCCGCCACGCCCCGTGACCTGGAAAGTAACCCCCTCCGCGCTTGTGTCGCGCCGGCGAGTCTAGGGCATGCGGCACCTACGCAGGCCTATCCCGAGCACGTGATATTTCGTGGATTATTTGCCTCTAGTTCAAGGCCGCGTGTACAAAGAGCTTCTATAAATACACTGCACTCAACGTTAACATGCCGCAGTGTCCCATGTTTATTCTAATAATGACTGTAGTGTAGGTTGTAATTAACACGGAAGAGTATATTACGAACACAATTCAATCATAAAGATATCATGTGTTTACTCTAATAGCACATCTATATAAGTAAAAGTTAATGTATGTTTGAATGTATGTTCACCTAAAACTCAAGAACCGTTAGCCTAGTTAATTGATTTGAAAGCACACATATTATAAAGGGCGACATGACCACTCCACAATCAAACATAGTTAATATAGGATCGTATAAGGGATGATAGCAGTGACTTTTACATTTTGCACTGTAGGTCGAATTGATATGAAACTTTGTAAATACAGATGCATGTAGCAGCATTGGAACACCAACTAATATGGTTACACTGGTAACTAACATTACGTCACGACGTTAGCGATGTTTATTGGAATTTTTTAAATTATGAATCTTACCCAATTTATTTGAATCCCACTTATGTATAACATAAGTCATATGTCTGATTAGTTGACTACTACGGTGATCAGTGTTTCAGAAACCGGGCATTTATGTTTGTTAATACATACTAATATTATAAATGCGAAAGTAACTCTGTCTGTTTGTCTCGCTTTCACGCGAAAACTACTGAACCGATTTAAATGAAATTTGGAACACAGATAGTGTAGAACCTGAGAAAGGACATAGGCATATATATTTTTTAACTGGTAAAAAGTGTTGTAAAGGGTTGAAAATACCTTGCTTTAAAATATATGTATATAGTTTTTAAAGAAAGATATTTATTTAAGAGGTTCATCGCGAGCGAAGCCGTGGGCTAAAAGCTAGTTTTTAGTAAGTGTCTGAACAGTTTCCTGGCCGGCGTCGCCAAGTCTCGGCGGATCGATCGCAGGTTTTTGGGGCTCGAGAAACCGGTATTATTACGTTCGCAAAATACCCAACGTAATAACATCGAGGCCTCGTGTCAAAGTGACGACGAAAGTGCACGCGGAAAACGACAGAAGCGATCCCGTTTTACGACTCGCCACGCTCCACGGGATTTACAAGCAAACAATTAAGCGTCTACCTTTCGTTTACCTCGACGCGTACGATCTTAGCCATAACGCCGTATCTTGTATCTTGTATTAACTGATGTTTTTGCTTTCAGTCCCGAGACTATTAAAGCTTCATCGGACGCAGAACCGGTGGGCTAGCCAGAACCCACGGGTTTGGACCCTCCGCTATGGGTAGGGTCGCGCATGTGCTCATGCGTGCATTTAACTACTATGGTGTGATCTAAGGGCCGTCGAGGTCGCCGGTTCGGACCGAGACCCCGACGGCCGTCGACTGTGCATTTAGCTAATCGGTGGCTGGGAGCGGTGAGAACCGCCCCGGAACGCGGGTGTACCTTGTGTACGCGTTGTGTGGGTCTCACCGTGCTCGGAGGCGAGGGCGAACTGGTGTGATTGTTGTTACACTAACTGTGGGTGTAGTGTTATCTGGAGGGACCCCCGGCGGTGGGTCCATCGTATCTAAGTCCTCTTCGTCGACCGGGTCGATGAGGACGTTTCGCGGGCGACGCTTGTTTACGTTCGCGTTTGTGTCCGGTTGGTAGTTTGCTGCGCTTACCATCAGAGGGTTGGGATGATGCTGGGCTCTATCGAAGAACCGTTTTGTCAAATCTTTAAAATGCGCGCGAATCGTCGGGAGTCTGCAATCGCTGTGCAGGTCGACGTTGCGCTGATACCATTGCGCACCGGTTGCGCGGCGGATAAACTTACTTTGAACTACTTGCAATTTGTTAATGCGCGTAGGATTTATATGTGCGAAGATCATGCAAGCGTAGGACATGATTGGCCTTACGCAAGCTTTATATAACAGTAGTTTGTGCCTTAAGGGCATTTTACTTTGCTTCTTCGTTAAATGGTGTAGCCGGCCGGAGACGAACGCGGCTTTATTTCGGACTTGATTGATATGCGTAGTGAAAGTCATACGCGAGTCGAAAGTGACTCCTAAATATTTGACCGTTTTCTCCCAGGGGAGAGTTTGGCCATATAGTGATATTTGCCCCAACTTTCTGTACTGGCGAGGACCTTTGTAACGGTGTGGCGGATGGGGGTTGGGGGTGCTGCTACGAGTAAAGTGAATCGCCACACTTTTTTCTGGATTAATATCGATTCTCCATTTGCGGAACCAATCGCCGAGGTGGTCGGCGGCGCTTTGGAGTCGAGTTGTTAAATGACTGAGGTTGCGATCTGAGTAAAAGAGCGCCGTGTCATCCGCGAAAAGCGCGAGATTGACGCGAAATAGCAAGGGTGAGAGGCAGGAGCCTTTTGGTACGCCGGCCGTGAGGCGGCGGCTTGTGGAAAGGGTGCCCTCGACTCGATATCGAAAAGAGCGGTTCAACAAGAAGGCCCGGATGGTGTGTACGAGCCTATCTGGCACTTTGAGTGTGTACAGCTTGTAAAGCAAGCCGTTGTGCCAGACTTTGTCGAATGCTTTTGCGACATCGAAGAAGAGAGCCTCTGTACTGATGTGTTTGGGGTGGTTGAGGCCTTTTAGGATGTGCTCCGTTAGGCGGTATAACTGATCGGGACAAGAGTGTCTAGCTCGAAAGCCGAATTGTTCCGTCGGCAGAAGGGCGTTGGAAAATACGTGCTCTTTGAGCCTGTTTAACAATAGCCGCTCGTAGAGCTTCCCCAGACAACTGAGGAGGCTGATGGGACGATAGCTGGAGGGCTTATTGGCTGGTTTATTCGGCTTGCGAATGCCGATAACCGGTGGCTTGCTTCCAGTCGTCCGGAAAGCAGCAACTGGAGAGAAGGGTATTGAAAATTGTCGCCAGTAAACAGATAAGCGGCCCAGAGAGAGCTTTGAGAATCTTATTACTTATATTATCTGGGCCCGGGCGGATTTTGGTTTTAAATTTTTAATAATATCTTGGACCTCTTTGGGGGTCACTGAATTTAAAGGTTTGCCTTCCGGTGGAAGCGCAGCCCTAGTCTCGATTACGCGGTCCACCTCCGTTAGGTGGGCCGAATCGGTGTGTTCGCGCGATGGCGTACATTGCTGCTCTAGGTTGTCCGCAAGGCATTCGGCTTTTTCGGAGTCATCTAGGGCTACTGAAGCGCTATTAGGTCTAACTAACGGCGGTAGAGATTCGCGGGGGTCTGCTTTCAGACTGCGGGCCAACCGCCAGTAGGCGGTGTACGATGGCTCGATGTCCTCTAGGAGAGTGTCCCACGTTGTGTGTCGGTGTTCCGATACACGATCTTTGACTTCTAGCTGAAGACGTCGAAGAAGGGTTCGGTTCGATTCCGATCGGTATCGGTCGAAGGCGCGTTTGGCTGCATTTTTCTGTCTAATTAGCAGTCGCAGGTCGGGCGGAAAGTTGAACCGTCGGTCGCCCGAC